GATTCAAACCTCGTCAACACCGAGTCCGGGGACGATTTTGTTCACAGTTTGTTTGGGCATTTTGGGAGCCTTTTTGGGTTATTTGTTTTTTTGCGGGCGGGCGGGCGGGAGTGGGCGCGGCCCGCTGGCCCCGAGAAAGTATTCGCCCAGCACCTCTTCCGTCCTCTCCCCCTGTAGGGCGCGTTTCTTTATTGCTTGGGGCGTAATTGGCATTATAGCCCCCGACCCCCCCCTACAATCAAGTAGGGCCTGTCCCTCTACAGGAGGCATATTCAAACATAGTCGAAAAATAGTATGGGGACGATTTTTACCAGTGTTTATCATTTTTGAACATGTTTTGACTATTGCTTATTTTTCCTCCAAAATCCGCCTGTAGGGGGACATGCCCGACCTAACCCCATAACGTAACGCCCCTTCCCTCCCAGTGCGCTCCTGGCATTGCCGCGGGCACACAGCGGGGGGGGAGCGTCACATTATACCCCCCGGACCGTCTCCCCCCGCCCCCCTATAATACACATTATCGCCGACGATAAAGAATCGCGCTCTATCCCCCCTCCTTCGCAACACCCATGAGTACGGTTTTTGTTCCAGGTGCCCCAGCGTTCTCGACGGGCGGTGCAGCACGTCTCGGGTCTCAGGAGCGGATCTTTGTAAGCATGCGCGTCCGCATTGTGCTTTCAGCGACAGCATCTGCCATGAGACATGGGAGGCCTGATTGAGCTTCAGCTCGACAGAGGCTTTGCCGCTGCCTGGCCATCTTTCTCCTCTGATGCTCCATGTGCGCAGGGACAGAGAAGGACATAGGGATGCGGCTGTAGACAAAAGGCGGGGAGAGGTGCAAACGCGGGATTGGGATGATGGAGGTTGGAAGTCCCTTGACGTATGGGACACCGTAGTCAAGGCGTGGTTGCCTTGAGGGGGCAAGGATGGGACGCACGCTGTACGGGAAGGGAGCGCTACTATTGTGCACAATAGCGTGCGATGATGCGACAGTGACGGGCCCGCGTCAGAGGTCTGCGCGGCACGATGCCTTGAGTCATCAAGACGAGGCGGGGAGGACTGGGAGCTGGAGTGCGAGCAGTGGGGCCAGACGGCACGAGGAAGGAAGAGGTCTCAAAGCGCGATGCTGAGGGCGACTACGACATGCAAGAGGAGGACGAGTGTGTGGACGTTAACTGAGTCATGTAAGGATGAAGCAGATGAGGAGGATGCAAAGGAGGATTCGGAGGAGGATTCGGAGGAGGAGGAGGAGGAGGGGGAGGAAGACGAGGAGGATGAGGAGGAGGAGGAGGAGGAGGATGAGGAGGAGGAGGGTGTACGACTAAGCTGGTACGCTTGGGACGCGGGGGATGCGTGAGGACGTTGGGACCAACAGAGTAAGTGGAGAAGCAGAGCGCTGGCACGCAGCAGCTTACTCTTGCCCGCGTCGCCGAAGGCATCGGGATCTTCGCCTGCGACGAGACTATGCTGCTGGCGGACGCGAAGATGCCTCCCTTCTAGATTGGCGATCGTGCTCTTGCTCCACCTTCCAGGTTTTGCACGTTCTTAGTAATTTTCGAGCATCAGGGGGCCTCCAGCGGCCCCCAGGGGCCTCCGCGGACCTCGGGGACCTCATGGGATCCCTTACATTATCCCTTATCAGAGTGAGGGGGCCGAACGGTCATTCACTGTCCCTGGGCGCGTGGCTGAAATGGGATTCCGCGGTGCGGATTCGTGTTGTTGTTTGTTGTTGTTTATTGTTGTTTGTTGTTGTTTGTTGTCGTCGTCCCACCCGCAACCCGCCCCGCGACCCACCCGCGACCCACCCCGCGACCCACCCGCGACCCACCCGCGACCCACCCGCGACCCACCCCGCGACCCACCTCGCGACCCACCCCGCGACCCACCCGCGACCCACCCCGACCCACCCCGCGGCCCACCCCGCGACCCACCCGACCCACCCGCGACCCACCCGCGACCCACCCGCGACCCACCCGCGACCCACCCCCCGCGGCCCACCCCGCGACCCACCCGCGACCCACCCGCGACCCACCCGCGACCCACCCGCGACCCACCCGCGACGCGACCCACCCGCGACCCACCTTCGACCCAAACCACGTTCAAGGTACAAACCACCATTTTCGGCGCCTGCGGCGGGCTTTTTTTGCATTCCTTCCAGGTGGAGAGCCCGCGACCCACCCCGCGACCAACTCGCGACCAACCCGCGACCCAAACCACGTTCAGGGTACAAACCACATTTTTCGGCGCCTGCGGCGGGCATCTTTTGCATTCGTTTCAGGTGGAGAGCCCGCGGCCCACCCGCGACCACGTTCAGGGTACAAACCAATTTTTTCGGCGCCTGCGGCGGGCATCTTTTGCATTCGTTCCCGGTGGAGAACCCGCGGCCCACCCGCGACCCAAACCACGTTCAGTGTACAAACCAATTTTTTCGGCGCCTGCGGCGGGCTGCTTTTGCATTCCTTCCAGGTGGAGGTGGAGAGCCCGCGACCCACCCGCGACCCAAACCACGTTCACTGAACAAACCAATGCCGCACAAGCGCGGCGGCGGATTTTTGCATGCCGTCTGAGCCCGCAACGACCTCTTCAAGCCCCGCGCATCCACACCAGCCCGTCCAGCAACTTTGCCCTGGCGAGTTGCCTTGATCAGAGAAGTCGGGGAGCATAAAGTGGAAAAAAGGATTGCGTTGCCGTTATCTTGGGAAAGGAGGGGGAGGCAGGAGGAGTAAACAGGGGACGAGGAGGACGCGGAAGAAGAGAGGATGTAAGGAGAATGTGGAGAAAGGAGGAGGAGCAGGAGGACGAGGAGGGGGAGGAGGGGGAGGAGGGGAGGACGAGGAGGGGGAGGAGGGGAGAGGGGGAGGAGGATGATGATGGACGACAATGGGAGGACGATGATGGAGGCCGATGAGGGGGAGGACGACAATGGGAGGACGATGATGAAAGGACGAGGGGGGGGAGAGGGAGGACGAGGAAGAAGAGGAGGAGGACGAGGTGGAGGAGGAGGATGACGATGACGATGAGGACGAGGACGAGGAAGGGAGGAGGAGGAGGAGGAGGAGGAGGAGAGCGCCATCGACAGGGAAGGTGGGGGCCACGAGGTCCGCCAGCTCGACGACGCCCGCGTCGCCCGCGCCCGCCCCCTCACTCTTATCCGCAATTGCGGGGTGCTACGTATTTCCCTCCCCATACAGGCGTACGTGAACATTGAACATGTCTCCCCGATAGGTTGGCGATGCTCCACGGATGTCAGAGGAAGTATCGACAGCGCCAGAAGTAGTCAACTACTGGTTCGCACTGGTCGGGGTGCGTCAGTCGAGAGTTGTGCATTCATGACCGCAGGATGCGCGTGAGGCACAGGTCGAGGGGCCAGTGGCCGACGAGTTGCTTGCAGTTCTCAGGGCTTCGGGGGCGCGTGCCAGCAAAAGGGGTCTCGGCGGAAACCGCTGGAAGCAAGGGGCTGCAAACCCAGCGTCGGAATCGACCCCAGTTTTGCCGTGCTGTTGCCGGCGGTGGGGTCTCGACATAGTTAGTCGGCGGTAGCGAATGGTGTTGTGGGCTGTCAAGAACAAGGAGCAGCCACACAGCGTCTGTCGCCTAACCAGCAACAGTCTGGACGGCATGTATAGCCAGCAGTGTCACGCCTGCCTCAAACAACTAGGATACCGCCACACAGAGTGGTGCGCGGTGCAGGATGGGCCTCGGGGGCGCATGTTCCCATGCAGCGCAAGTGTGGAAACCTTCTCGGATTGTGTGGAGTTGGATGTGCTGGTCTGTCCGCTGTTTTGGGCGTGCCGGCCCATCCTTTATCGAGCGGCTGCTGGGCAATGCGGCTGCACTCCGCACGTGTGTGAGCACTGTGGGCCTCCTTGTGCGGTGCAGAATTCGTGTTGATGAGCGCGCGAGAGCAAGCTTGAAGGCTCACGATAATCCCACAAGGGCGGAGGTGGTTGGAGTGCGTTTGACAGTAGAGTAGACTCTCCCATGTGAAGACGGGTCTTGCAGCGAGCTCCAGGCTATAGTTTTTTCGTGGCACTCTTCGCTGCGTGAGTGACTGTTGTGGTAGCCTTCGAGCTATGAAAGCACCCTGTGCGGCGCATGGATCCACCGCCAGAGCATATCCATATCCACCGCTGCGGAATCGTGCCCTGGGATCTCGAGGAGTGGTGGATATGGATATCTGCCCGCCCGCATGGGCGGCCAGATATCCATATCCATCGCTCCTCGGTTCCTTGGGGTACGACCCCGCGGTAGTGGATATGGACATAACTCTGGCGGCGCAATGGATGAGCACTTCTCTGGCCTGCGCCTGCAAGAGAGGGCAGGCCGGAGGGCGTGCGCCGGGCCTGGACCGGCCGTTGCCGCCCCCGTCCGCGAGGCCTGGGGTTACGTCGGGCCTGTCCCTCCACAGGGGGAATGTTCACAAATAGTCAAACATAGTCTTGGGACGATTTGTTTTTGTATTTTTTGACTATTTTAGGATATTGTTTGACTATTTTTGTTGACTATTTTAGGATATGGTTTGACTATTTTTAACTGTTCTGCCAAGATCGGCCCGTAGGGGGACAGGCCCGACTTGAGCCTGGAGGCTGCGCCCTCTGGGAGTAGCCAGAGAGAGTGAGAGAGAGAGGGTCAGCAGGCTGACTTTCCCGCCAGGGGTACGAAATGAGGAATCCTCGGGAGATATTGTGTTTTAGGGAAGGAAGAAGTTACCCATACCGCTTCCCTACTCCCGTTCCCCCCTTCTTCGCCCTCTTGGGAGGCCCTCGTCGCCGCCGCTGGATTCGCCTCGAAAGTCTAGTCAGAACGCAGCCCCGGAGAGGTCCGGGGAGTATCGGTATCGGTGCCTTTTGATGTCCCCAGTGTTAGCCCTGGAAGCACGACGGGCGGGATGGGGGAAATCCCAACCGCCGTCATACTCCAGGCAGAAGGGCCTCCGCAGCGCTCCTCTGCCGTCGCTCTTCCCCGACGCCCGTCTGCCTCAAACTGTGCTGGCCTCCGAGGTCTCTGGGGACCATCCGCAAGCACGGCAAGGACGTGGAGGTAAGGACGCACACCTTCAAGCAGATGCCAGTCGGCCTGTCCCAGGAGCGCGGGTGCGTGGCGAGGCAGGGGTCACTCCTGTTGCATCCACGTTCCTAGGCCTGCACCACCGTCTGCGTGCGCCCGCTCCATGATTGTAAGGGAACGTGTCAGGTCAGAGGGGCTACGCAGAACTCTTCCACGTCTGAGCGCTTCCCCCTCCCCCTCCCCCGGCGCGGTCGCCCATGCCCTCTCCCTCTCATCCTGCGCGCCGGGCAGTTCGCCTTTCGGTTGCCCCGAATATAGCCGCGCGCTGGAGCGGACTGCCTCTGCCTCGCCGCCGGGGCGACAAGTGTTGGGCCTGTGGGGAGCACTGCTCGTGTGCGCACCCTGCCGACCCACCCGCTCGACCTCCGGTCCTCGTCGGCCGCTGGGGCGTCCCCCGCCGCCCCGACGCTCCTCCCGGCTCCGAGGCCTGGTCGCGGCGGTGCTCAGAGGATGTCGGAGGTTGATCGACCTCCTGCCCTGACACGTCGATTGAGGGATTGGCCGTCTTCGCTTCGCGAGAGGGCGCCGCGGCCGTCGTTTTGGCGGGTCCAGGTCCGTCGGTGTCGGTCCCAGGCCTTTCTCTCTGAAGGGAGGTTTGCTAAAGGGAGGCTTGTCCACCGCCGAGGATGGATCTGGAGCACAGGCCTCTGAGAGGGCCTCGGCCGCGCGGGCTCCGCAGCTTCTCCCGCCCGAGCAGCCCGAGGGTGCGGGGCTCCCCGCGCTGGTGCACGTACAGCGGAGGCCCATGCCGAGGAGCACCCTGCTTGCCTCCAGGGCGCCCCAGGTTGCTCGGGTTTCGACGCTTCTGCTCTGGAGAGCGTGGCGTTCCCGCACCCAGAATCAGTGGAAACTCCTGGGGTCTCAGGGTCGGGCTTCTCGGGGAAGGTTTCCTGTGGACTGCGGCCTCCACTGCATGTTGGTGCGCGCCGAGCCCGACCTCGGAAACGCCCCTTGCCCTTCCGTGTGAGCGCGCCGCACCGCGGCCTCCTCGGGTGCCGCGCGGCAGCCCCTGTGGCCTTCGGCCGCCTCGCGTGCCCCCCCCTGCTCCTCCTCCTCCTCCTCCTCCTTCTCCTCCTCCTCCTCTTCCTGTTCTTCTTTCCTGTAGCCATTTGGGCTCCAGCAGAGGGGCTCCCTGGAGCGCCGCAGCCGCGCCGTGCCCCGCGGGCGCGCGCGGCCAGCACCCGGCGGTGCGATGGGTCGTGGCGGGCGCGGCGGCCTCTCGGTGCGCCATGGGGCCTCGCTCATCACGGGCGCATCTGTCGGCGAGGCCGCTGAGCTCCTGCTCGTGCGGGCTGGGGGCGCAGAGGCGGTGGCGGCGCCAGCAGCAAACGCGGAGAGGGCGGCGTCGGCGGCAGCACCTGGCCGCTTGGCCCTCGGAGACCGCGCGGAGGCGATGCCCGAAGCGGCACCGGAGCTGGTGGCTTTGCTAGGGTCGCTAACGTTGGCCAGCAGGGCTAGGGGCGGTCTGTTCCCGAGGGCGACGGGTCCCGTCGGCCCTCGAGGGGAGCTGCAGGTTCTCGATGGGGCTGCGGCGTCCCTGCGCCACCCGCGTGAGGCGGAGGCCGTAGTCGCCAGCCTTCGGCGTTGGTGGGCGGACTGTGCCGAACCCAGGGTGGGCCTGCAGGCGGAAGCTGAAGAAGAGGTGCTCGGCGGCTACGGCATGCCCGACGCTGGCCCAAAGCACTTTGTGGAGCTTGGCACGCAGGTGGAGACCATCGAGCTGGAGCCCAGGGAGGCCGAGGGTAAACTCGAGTAGAAGTCCAACCTGCGGGAGTTGCTGGGCGAGCAGGTGCTGGAGCTGCAGGCCGCCAGCGAAGAGCACACGCAACGCATAGCGGACACGCGCCAGGGAGCAGGAGCAGCTGGGGCAGCAGCGGAACCACGAGGTGCAGCAGTACAACGATTACGAGGAGCGCAACCAGCAGGTGGAGCATGAGGCGCGAGATCTCGCGAACGCGGTGGAAGGGCAGCGGGAGAAGATCGCGCAGCTTGAGAACAACCCTGTGTGAGGAGCATGGCAGCACGAGATAGCCTCGCTCGCGGCGGTCCCCGGCTTCACCGTCCTGCACATCGACGGGGAGGGCCAGTCGAGCAACGTCGAGCAGCAGCAGCAGCGTGTCGACGACGACCAGGAGACCGACGGCCACCAGTTGGGCTCCGCGGAGGGCCAGGGCAGGCAGCTGAACGCAGTCGAGACGAAGGTGAGCATCAAGGACAGCTAGGTGAGCTACACAGGCAACCAGCAGAGCATCGTACAGAACCAGGGCAGTCCCCTGCGCAACTTCGCGAAACAAAAACAGAGCAACGGCGACGTGCAGTCGGTCCTGGCGCGGTTGGAGGCCGCACAAACAACCCCCCGTCGGCGCGCGCAGAGACGCGCAAGACAGCCGCACGCAGCAACGGTGCAGGAACAAGTCACGGACGCAGGGACGTCTGGCATGATCAGGGACCTCGAAGTCGTGCACGCCTTCATCATGGTCATGATCGTCCCCTTTGTCTACCTGCGAGGGTGGGTCAGCTTTCACGGATGGCACGAGGACATCGTCCAGGGGTGGTCGCCACTGCTGCTCCATCCGCGTGGGTGGCCCGTGCTTGGCCGTGCGCGCCACGGCGGGTGCAGTGGGGCGCGTGGCCAGAGCCCAGGAAAAGCAGTCGAGGCCCACCGCCGACGCCATCGTGGAGGCGGAGACCAGCGCTGACAAGGCGCAGGCCGCTCACGCGACGGAGATCCCGTGGAGCAGCGGCCAGCAACGGTGGAGGCGGGAGCATTGGCAGCAACCATCAGCTTGCTGATCCTCGCCTGCCGCCAGTTCGGGCAGAGTGCTAGTGCGGCCGCCTTCGGACCTGGCAGCATCCCTCAGCCTGCTGGGCCGAGCAGCGGCCACGGCGACAGGGGTTGAGGCCGACGGCCCACTGCTCGCGCGGGCGCAGCGCGCGCGGGCGCGCCGAGACCGTTGGCCCTCGTCCTTGCGCGCGCACGCGGGTGTTCAATTCCTTCTCCTCCTTCCCTTCCTCCTCCTCCTCCTCCTCCTCCTCCTCCTCCTCCTCCTCATCTTCCTCCTCCTCCTCCTCGCCGTTCGCCTCCCCCTCCGCCTCCTCGTCCTCCTCCCCCTCCTCGTCCTCCTCCTCCTTCCCCTCCTCCTCCTCCTCCTCCTCCTCCTCCTCCTCCTCCTCCTCCTCGTCGCCTTCCTCCCCCTCTTCTCCTCAGCGTGCTCCTCCTGCCGACTCATGCAACGTTAAGAAAAAAACGAGTGCGCGCGGCTCTAAGGCGAGAGCAACAGTTTGAAAACGACCAGCCCTCAACCCGTGAAGCTCTTGCAATTTTTGGGAAACGAATGTGCGCGGCGCTAAGGCGAGAGCCACATTTTGAAAACGACCAGCTCTCAATGCGTGAAGCTGTTGCAAATGTTTAGAAATAATGTGCGCGGCGCTAAAGCGAGAGCCACAGTTTGAGAACGGCCCGCCCTCAATCCGTGAAGCTCTTGAATTGTTATTACAAAAGAACGACTGTACGCGGCGCTAAGGCGAGAACCACCTTTTGAAAACGGCCCGCTTTCCATCTGTGAAACTGTTGCAACATCTTAAGCTTCAGAATCATAAGTGGAGAGGAAGTCTAAGGCGAAACGCACGGCCCGCCCTAAAAACTGGTCTCGGGGTGCGACAGGGAGGAGTTATTCATACTGGGAAGGAATGGAGGAGGAGGAGAAGGAGGAGGAGGAGGAGGAGCAGGAGGAGGAGGAGGAGCAGGAGGAGGAGGAGGAGGAGGAGGATCTCCCCATCCTCCCTTCTCCCCCGTTCTACTTCTGGTGGTGGTGGTGGGAAGTTGGCCCGTCACGTCCTCCTGCTGCCCCCTCCCGCCTCGACTCTGGGGGTCGCGGCTGGCGTGCCCCGCCGGTTCGCTGGCGCTGCTGCTTGCCCCAGAGGTTCGAGCAGGGGATCGAGGACAGAGTTCATGTACCCCATAACTGAACTGCGCGTCGAAAGAATGTACGGGAGAGATACGTCGAAGGGTCATAGATATACGGCTCATGCTACGTAGTTTCGTAGACTCGACCGACAAATCACTGCTGGGGCAAATCAATGTTGTAGTCGATCCCCTGCTCGAGAGGCGTCCCCTCGGCTTTGAGGCGGCCAGCGGCCCCCCCAGTCCCGTCGTGGCCCCCTTTCGGTCCCCCACGCGTCACCAGCTCGGGGCTCGCATGTGCCAGACGCAGTTCTCTGACGTGCAGATGGCCGAACTTCGAAGTTTCGGCTTTCGAGCTTCGAGGATCGAGGCTATTTGGGCCTCTGGGGGGCTCCTCGTCGCCACGGCTGGATTCTCTTTCAGATCGTGTACGCTGGACTCCGCTTGACGACGCCTTGACGCCTCGTCGGGGCATCGAGCGTTGCCACGCGGGTGGTCTTTAGTAGGGTTGTGGCGAGGAGCAGCTAGGGCGGGCGACGCCGCCAGCTCTGCGGCTCTCGACGTGCCACTTGCGAACCTGCGCCTGAATGTCTTGTCATCTTACTTGTCGGTGGTTCCGCCACTTTGCATCCTGCCGGTCTTGTCTGAGTTGCTCTGACCCTCCTGGACTCCCTTCCACTGCGGCCGGGTTCAAGCCGAAGTTTGGTTGGGGAGATTGTAGAGGAATCCTGGGCTGGCTTTGACATGGTGTCGGCCGACGTCGAATGACGACGTGTCATGGAAGAAGTTTGCGCAGGAGGAACAGGCAATGACAGACACGGACGGGTTGGGCGGATTGGTTACAATAACCCGCGTCGGAACACATGCAGCTCTGGGAATTGCAAAGCTTGACATGACTGCAAATAATTCTTTACGCTTCGCGTATCCCCACCAGCCCATCTCACAGCAGCAACTCTTGCGAAGCATGCCGACAGTCGTGTTTTTCAGGCGTGTGTCCGCTTGGCCCCGCATATCTCCCCTGTTCCTCCTTCCTCCCGCCTCCTTGTACATCCTCCTTGTGGGGGGAGCGGGAGAAGGACGAGGCGGAGGAGGAGGGAGAGAAAGCGCTCCTCGTGTGTTTGAGTCGTTTGGGGTTTCTCGTCCTGGTGTGAGTCGTTCGGGCCCTTCTTCCTGGTGTGAGTCGTTCGGGCTCTTCGTGGTGTGAGTCGTTCGGGCTCTTCGTCCTGGTGTGAGTCGTTCGGGCTTCTCGTGGTGTGAGTTGTTCGGGCCCCTCGTCCTGGTGTGAGTCGTTCGGGCCCCTCCTCCTGGTGTGACTCGTTCGGGCTCCTCGTGGTGTGAGTCGTTCGGGGCCCGCGTCGTGGTGTGAGTCGTTCGGGCTCCTCGTGGTGTGAGTCGTTCGGGCGCCTCGTCCTGGTGTGAGTCGTTCGGGCCCCTCCTTGTGGTGTGAGTCGTTCGGGCTCTTCGTGGTGTGAGTCGTTCGGGCCCCTCGTCCTGGTGTGAGTCGTTCGGGCTCCTCGTGGGGCCTCTTGGGGGCCTCTTGGAGCCTCTTGGGGCCTCTTGGGGGCCTCTTGGGGGCCTCTTGGGGGCCTCTTGGGGGCCTCTTGGGGCCTCTTGGGGCCTCTTGGGGGCCTCTTGGGGGCCTCTTGGGGGCCTCTTGGGGCCTCTTGGGGGCCTCTTGGGGGCCTCTTGAAGGCCTCTTGGGAGCCTCCTGGGGGCCTCTTGGGGCCATCTTGAGGCCTCCTGCGACCTCCTCAGAAGCGCAAATGAGCGCTGCCCCCTGAGAAGGACAAAATGAACCCCAAACCTTGGTAAAATCAATGATTTTGCTATGAAGGACGATGAGCGCGGCCCCCTCAGAAGGCCAAAATGGGCCCCAAACCCTAGTAAAATCAATGTTTTTTGCTTCAAATGCGAGCAGAGGCGCCAAACGGTCCCCCCCCCCTCGGGGCCAGAATCCTCGTGAGGGTCGTCGTTTTTTAGCCCTCCCAGGAGTCGAAAAAGACCCCCCCTGACCACGCTCGGGACTCCCGATCCAGGCCCAGGGTGAGGGGGTAGGGGGAGGGGTAAACCCCTCCCCGAAGGGGAAGAAGGGGGGTTGAGGACAGACAGAGCTCTCTAAACCACTCACGCCCAAAGGGCTGGTGGGATTACGGAATGTGGATTGACCTAGCTCGTGTTTGTTCTCGTGCTTGTTCTGGGGAAAGTCGCTGGGGTAAACGATGTGAGTGAGGACGGCTCGGCTGCGAACACGGCTCTATTCATGAAGGCCACCTGTCTTTCTCTTTCCATGTTCTACATTGCCTTGACGTCTTTTTGCCTCTGCAATATCACGGTTCCCGTTGTAGGCCTGCGCGTGCATTTTGGTGTCCATGGGTTGTTGGAATTTTGAAGTTTATGTCGCAGAATGTTTTGCGCGTGGGCAGTGATGCGTGCTTGTGTGGTTTTTTAGCCCGCCTTGGCAGCTTCGCATTCGAATAGACATGCAGGGTGAATTGTGATGAGGCTCTGGCTTCGGAGCTCGCTTGCGGAAACGTGAGACGTGTAGCACGCACGCGATCGAGTCAAGCACCCTTCGCATAGAAGGGGGGCCGGCAGACGTGCAGGTTTGCGTGCTCCATGGCAGCGCTGCCGAGAACGAGCTCGTGACACCTGGCGGGCCTGGAGGCGTCTTTGCGGTCGGACCGAGGTCTAAGATCGAGGTCTGTTCGGGGAGGGCGCCCCAATGCTCTCCGTGCCTGTTGGCTGTTCACGTGCATCCTGGGGGGAAGGGCCGCCTCGAGTGGTCTCGTGGTTTCGGGCGGGCCTTGTCCTGCGGAGGGCCTCGCGTTCTTGGGGGATCCGCAGCGACGCAACGACGGTGGGTCCGCCGGCGGAGGCGGGCGCAAGCTCGGCGCAGGGCAGCGGAAGCCTTCGTGTAATGTATCGTAAATACCCTGCGGCGGATCCACGCCATTTGCGTTTATATACTTTGCGAGCAGTGGAGCGCGCTCATCCAGTTTATCAAGCAGTTCAGGCCAATGGACCCGAATGCTGTGGACGCGGGGACCCATCACGGCCCGCAGCGCGACGTCCAATATGGCGGCAAGAGCATGGGCAAAAGAGCCCGAAAGGCAAAGGCACGCGCAAGAAGCGCCAGAGGGGAAGCAAACATCGCGGGGTTACGGACCGGGCTTCAGCTCCCCCGTGCCAGATCGGGTGCGCGAGAGTGGCGTGAGCGGCAGGGCTGAGCGAGGCGCGCAAGCAGTGCTCTCGGGATGCTGCAGCAACGGGGGGGGCCCTGGGGCCTGGAGGCCAGGGGATGGAGGGGCACCCGGGAGCGAGAGTGGAGGGCGGAGGGGCGGAGGCCGGAGGATGGAGGGGGGACGGTGGAGCGATGGTGACAGGCGGAGGGCGGGGGGCCGGAAGAGGGGTGGGAGCTCACAGCTGGGCTTCGAGCGTTGCTGCCCGCGCCGCCCCCCGCCGTCCTCCATGCTCTTCCTCATGGCATCTCTCGTCGTCGCTGTGGTGCGCCAGGTGTGGGACGTGGTCCTCGAGTTCGAAGCCTACAAGCGGCACGCGTGGACCATCAAGGCCAGTTTGCTGCCCACTTGTTAACAAAAGGCAGCTGATGGTCCATTCGCAGCAACAGTGACGGTGTAATGACGTGGGAGTGGCACCGGTGGTGATCGTGGCAGTGGTAGCAGTAGTACATCGTGGTAGTCTTCTTCGTGGCAGCAGAAAGGAGTGGTGTGTGCATACACTTGGGAACGATGCGTCTGCCAGAAGGGGTGTGTGTGTGTATGCGGACACCACAGTGAGTGTGGTGGACCCTTGGGATCGGGGGATCCCCTTTCCAGTGCGCGTCGGAGCGAGGGGAAGGGACGCAGCGTGGGGGGGAGGTGGACCCCGACGCCGTGCTGCTTCCAGACCGTGCGCGGCAACATGTGCTGAAGTATGCTGGCCAGAATGTGTAAGGGGAGGGCGGACACGCATGGCGGAAGACGAGCCTCTTACCATAGAGCTCCTCCTCCTCATCATCCTCATACTCATCCTCATCCTCATCCCCCATCCCTCCTCCCTCCTACCCCTTCTCCCTCCTCCCTCCTCTTCCTCCTCCTCCTCCTCCTCCTCCTCCTCCTCCTCCTCCTCCTCCTCGTCCTCCTCGGCCTCCTCGTCCACCTCCTGAGGCTTGGTGGAGGTGGGTGGATTGGGCTTCTGGTCACTCGAGTGGTGCTGGGCTGCTGAGTGGCGGGTGTGTCCTCCCTCCTCCTCCTCCTCCTCCTCCTCGTCCCCCTCCTCGTCCCCCTCCTCCCCCTCCTCGTCCCCCTCCTCGTCCTCGTCGTCCCCCACGTCGTCACCCTCCTCGTCCCCCTCCTCGTGCCCCTCCTCGTCCCCCTCTCCTCGCCCCCCTCCTCGCCCCCTCCCTCCTCCTCGTCCCCTGCCTCGTTCCCCTCCTCCCCGAGGACGAGGGAGCGGCAGGTCGATGGGGGACGCAGGGCGCGGCAGGCTCCACCAGGGAGTCCACACGCTCTCCCGCCTCCCGCCCTGGCCTCCGCTCTCGCTCGGGGGCAGCGATGGGGACGCACCGACCCCCAATCGCCCACACATCGCCGACGCGGGCCTGATACGGTGAAGGGAAGCAATTGCTGAACATTCCTCCCCTCCCCCCCAAACTCAAAGTCGGCACGCGCGGGGGGGTAGGCTGCGGGCGAGGGGCCACTCCTCAGACCCACCGCCAACTCTGAACATCGGGCTGAGGGGGGCGGCGTTGACGGATGCGTGTGGCGTGAGTGTTCGCTATCTTGCCCGAGGCTTGCAGGCCACCGGGCCCAGGAGCGCGCGGCTTCGCTGCGGGGGGCCCCGCCGCCGATCCCTCGGCGGCGCGTCACCGCTTCCAGGGCGCTGCGCCGTCCCCCCCAAGGAGCCGGCCCCTCCCGGTCGCTGCCCCGCACTCGCCGCCCACGAGCGCCGCAGAGGGTACGGCACATTTTTGCCGCCGGCAGCGAGGCGGGGCGATCCGCTCCAGCGTGGCAGCGATGCCAGGGCACCACAGCGAATCGGCCGGCATGCAGGCGGAGGGCAAGGGAAAGAGAGGGCGGCCGCGGGGAGACGGAGGGTACAAGATGCGGTCGAGCCGCTGTTGAAAAGGCCTCATCCCGAAGAGCTGGACGGGGGGTTCTTGACCCACGTGCCGGAAAAAGCTGGCCCAGTCTCTTGCGCACGTTGGCCCCTCCGGCGTCGACGGCAGAACTTTGCCCAGGTTTGTTTCAGTACACGTCCGGGAAGTTGGCCCATGGCATGGCATGGCTGAGCCGAGCATCCGGAAGGACGCGTGGGCAGAAGAGTGCACGATTGGCAGCTCTTCGTGACAATGCAAGGGACATCTTGCAGATGGATTGCGTGAACACAGAGGCTCGACCGTGAAGCAGAAAAAATGGAGCGTCTCACGACTGACGGGAAGTTGGCCCAGATGTCTTACATGGTTTGTTTGTGGATCATATCTGTTCGGCTGTACACCGGTCCCGATACTCCTTTCCGTCGCTCCCGCCTCTGTGGGCCTCGTGGGAGGGCCTCGTCGCCACGGCCGGAGCCGCCTCGGGGCCCTGGCCAGAGAGCGCCCGCGGAGAGGTGGTACAGTCAGAGCGTCAAGGAGGGAGGAGCGGCTTTCCAAGGTTCACCGTGCATCTTTTCACCCTTCTGTCAGAGCCCCGAGTCATCAGGGGTAACTCGGGTCAGGGCTAACTCGGGTTCGCTTTTCGGGAATCCGAACCCGACTTACCCCGGACCCGAGTTACACCGGATGATTCGGGCGTCCAGAGCCCCGAATCATCAGGGGTAACTCGGGTCAGGGGTAACTCGGGTTCCTTTTTCGGGAATCCAAACCCGAGTTACCCCGGACCCGAGTTATCCCGGATAACTCGGGCGCCCAATTCTGGCCCATCCTCGGCAATCTTCGCTGGCTGGCCCCTTCGGGTGGCCCTGGAGCGGGCTGCATCTTTGGCCTTCCAAGGCCCGTTGCATCCCTACCGCGCATCCCGATTCCGCGTGTTTTTTCACCGCGGTCGTGTCGGCCCCGATGCTCTCCCTCTCCCCGCTTTGGCATTCTTCCCCTTTGCCCTCAGCGAGCGCTAAGGGAGCAGCGTGGTGCGCTCCAACTTGATTCGCATGGCAGCGCGAAACCGTCACTCTGCCACCCATGTACCTGGCATGGTTATGATGTGCAGCGTCCGACCTTCTCCCGTGCGGCCAGCGTCGCTGGACACTGAGTGCGGTGCAGTACGATTGATCTCAGGAGAAGCCAGGGGCCAGGGAGGTAAGAAGCGGAGGCGCATTCACACGAGAGCGTGAGCGTGTTTGTGTGTGTGTGTGTGTGTGTGTGTGCGTGCGAGTGCCGCAGCCAATGGTCCATGCCGGACCACGCACCACCGCATCATCGCCACCGGAAATGTGGCTGAAACGGAGCGATTGCAATCTTCGTGCCCGTGGCTACGGAGTGGACTTTCCACCGCTCGCGCGTCTGCCCACAGCAGGAGTTCCAGTCTCTTCAAGATCACGCCCGGGAGTTTTCCCAGGCCGTCGCGAACGATCGGTTGGACGAACTACGACGCCAACGCGACCATCTTCCCAAGGAGGTCTATGAGTAGCGCAGATCGAACATCGTCTCTTCCCTTTCCAGGCTGGTGCCAGGATCTGACGGCTCGGTGCAAGCAGTCAGAGATTCTACCACAGGTCGGGTCGCCACAGAACCCTGAAAGGGAGCTCGCAACAGACTTTCGGGGTGCAATGGGCAGATAGGCAATTGAGAGAGCGATGGATATATGAAGTGAGAGGCAGCTTACGCGTCACCATAGAAGATCTGACTCGCACCATCGAGGATGCTGAGGGCATCTTCATAAGCCGTCCAAGCTCTGCTCCAGGCCCTGACGGTGTCCCTTTCGCCATAGTTTCCATGCTTCGTGGTAGATTGGCACCGCTGTTCTTTGATTCGGCTATGCTTATTCTGCGAGGAGAGGCTACACCGCTTTTTGTTTTATGGCTGGAGCTTGAGGGCTTTAATTTGTCTTACTTGGCATGTCTGCCGAAAGTCTCGGTCTTGCTTTCAGCGACAGGCGAGGAGATCTACGACCGTGGCAGCACCCGTCCGTTGTCTATCGTCGACGCCTGCAGCCGCATCCCAGCTTGTATTTTCATAGTTGCTTTGGAGAGGTCGGCGGCGGGCTAGGTTTCCGTGTCTCCGAGGGGATTTATCCAAGGGCGGCAAATCATTCGCAACGTATTGGACGTGGACTTTGCAGCTCGAAGAATCACCGTGTCGCCGCACAGGGGCGCACATTTTTTGTGTGACTTGCTTTCTCATAGAATGGATTATTCATTCATGTGGGACGTCCTCGAAGGTACCAGTATCCCGGCCCAATATGTCAGGATGTTGCAGATGCCCTGCGCCAGGAACACGCACAAAATCAAGATTGTGAACGAGTATTTTGACACCATCATTGTCGAGAGTTGGGTGAGACAGGGTTGTCCGCTGTCGCCGCTGCTAATTTCAATCTGCGCAGATATGCTTCTACTTTTTTGGTCGCGGCCGCAAGCGAAGAGCGCAGGCGGCGAACAGGGTGTCCGGGCCGACGGGCAAACCTAATTAGCTGCTGGGCGCAGCACGAGCCGGCCTGGCCAGCTCACAAAAACAGCAGCTGGCAGATATTCTTCTACGCGAGATTGCAGAAGCACCCTGCGGTCACGAAATTGTCCGTGCTTTCGCCGACGACGCGGCTGCTGCAGCCAACGACTACGTCAAAGTTACCCCAGCGTTCGCGACGCTATTTGCTGAATTCGAACCAATCTTGTTTAGCATGAAAATTCAAGGAAACGCTCTCCATTCCGCTTTGGAAATACACTTAAGAAGGGGGCCTGCGTAACCTTATCACAGAGATTGCCCCCAGTTGGCGGGTCGTCACCATCGCGGCGCAGGGCAAGTATCTCGGCTCCTGGATTGTCCCCGGTGTTGGTTGTCACTCGTGGACGAAAGCACCGGATAATATTGAGCAGCGGGTATTGCTGTGCGGTCGCCTTAATGTTGTATTTTTGTTTGCCGTAATTGTGTTCAATGTTTTCATATGTTCAGTTCCCTGTGTTGTTATGCAATTGGAGAATTTGTGGGCGGACCCTTTGAACACATGTGAATGGGCTTTGAGACGTCTTGTACCCGGCCCTGGCAATTGGGCTACGCCGGTTGGTTTGTGCTAGTTGGAAGAGGCATTTGGCACCCCATGCTCATGTACAAACCCGTTGGTTGTGCTTCAGCCGCGAAGCTCAGGATGATAGAGACCTCCCCCAGACTGCAGAGATCGTTGCGCAGAGTTCGGCTTTCTCGACGATGCAGTGCTGTAGGGGCCATTTGGGATTTGGCATCAAAGCTCTTAGTTTGGAGTCTTTTCCTGTGCACAGGAGGTCCTGAACCGAATGGGCATCAGCCCTGCCGCGGTTCGACGGGCCATCTCGTCGTCTCCTTCGATCGGCGCCAAGTGGTCCTTCCAAACGACGGCTGTCTCACTGATGCGGGTCAGAAGCGGCAGTCGAATCAGCGACTGCAGAGCAAAGTAACAAGGTGGGGCTTTCAAGGCAATGCCGCAGACAGCTCGGCGAGGATCCAGCTGTTTACCTGCGTGCTGTATTTAGTGGGTGGATTACTTTCCGCCGCATGAGTCATGCCAGCGCAGCGTGCCAATCTGCATTTGGCCGTTGCCTGTTTGGGTGCGAGCGGGGCGCCGACAGTCTGGAGCATGATTATGTTTATGACGTCGCCTTACAATTCATCAGTTCGCCCAGGCCTGCCGGCATGCGCTGTTATCGAGTCATCCACTTAATGGGCGCAGGCTGCCAAGACGAAGATAATATACGGACAGGCCTGGCGTTGTGCGCAGTTGTCGGGGCAACGAATTACATGCGACATGCGGCTGTGCACCCCGGGCC